ACAATAAATAGATTATGAAATGCAGAATACGATAAAATTGTAGGCTATTCGACTTTGCTTCCTTTAAGGCAAATGAAGCCGGTCAACAGAAAAATAAGCGAGTGCCATTCCAACGAATTAATTCGCTGGAATGACGCTCAGATATTAAATCGAGACCAAATGATGCGAAATATTTTTCGTTTATTTTAATGGAAATCTGTCTTTTCTTTATTGAACTTGAACTTCCTTCACAGCAAAAAAAATCACCCCTTGATTGCAATTGGGGCAGATATGATGTTTAGACTAAAGAACTCATACGCTGTGTGAAAAAAAGCGTTTGTTTTCTCGTGTTGAAAAGAATATGTTAAAGTTTGTGAAAGTTTATGATGCCCTTAAAATTATATTCCGCCAGAGATTAATCTAAAAAATAAAAATCGAGGAGGCTTAACTTGCTATAAGAAAGATGTTCTGTTTCGTTGGTGGTAAAAGTTATTATAAGATAAAAACAGGAAAATGTTAATTTTTCTTCTTTTCTTCTTGACAACAGGTGACTCAGTTATTATTTTTCGCGTATGTAAAAGTTATCTGTGAAGGAAATTTTTAACTTGCTTTAATTTAAATAGTCGCAGGTAACCAACGTTTCTGTTTGAAGTCGGAAAACGTGTATACAGATGTAACACACCTGCGGCAATGACCTGAATTTGTACAAAAAATTGGCTCGAAAAGTTTTTTTTTTTTTACCCTATTTCGGAATAATAATGTTCAATGACATGTTTGTGTCAGGAGACAAACTGCTTCCATTTTCTCATAATTATTTTACTTAGGTTACGAGACATGAATGTTAATTAGGAAACTGTTACCATGTCCGTTTAGGCTTATCTTATTTAGTTTTAAAAGGCTTTCCTACAATGCTTAAGTTCCACGCAAAGCGGTATATTTGCCACTCTAGTAAATTCCTTCATTTGTGAGAGTCGAAGTTTTGTTTGTAATACACCTCTTAAAACTATTCTGGGTGAACTGCAGATAAAAGTTCATCATGTTTTTTTTAATGAGCAAATGAGTTGGTACACTAAGGGCCCACAACTTCTCTAAACATATTAAAATGTACTATCCTCCTACTGTAAAATATTAAACAAAAACGTCTAGATGTGGTAAAAACGTGGTTTGGATTAGTTTGGCCTCGAGCAAATAACCGGCCCATAACGTCAAAGAGTAAATAGCGGTAAATGCTACCGTGCTATTTCCATCAGGAAATTGAAAAGCCGCCATCTGAAGCTTGCAGCAAACATTGAAAACATAATAACGATGGCATCGTTGCTTTATTTTCTGTCAATCGCGCCCTTTTATACGGTAGCAGTGAAAGAATCGATTTCTCAGTTTTCATTTTGTCAAAGAACATACTTGAATAACC